ATACATTTTCTGAAAGCTTAATGTAATAGTTATAGAATACAATCATATCTTTGAAATTTTCTAAAAAATTGTTGTCACAGTGGGATTAAAAGAAATACCCAGAAACACTGCTTCCCTTAAACTGGTTTGCTTACACACGTGAATTATCGGAGCAGCGCGTTTAACATCTGAAATGTTTCCTCACACATCACCCTCAAAAAGGGTGTTGGCGATTTTCCAGATGTGGGTTGGGTTTTTTCTACAACCTTCTTAAGTTTGATATTTTCCATGCGGACATTTCCTTCTACTAAAGAGTCCATAACTTTGAAATGGAAGCGAAATTAAACAAAGCCCAACACCTTTCTTTTGGAGGGTGCATCCTGGAATGTACCTGCCAATTCTCAGCCAATTCTGTCAGAAGACGCCAGCAAATGAATTAAAAATGTTCATCCTTTTATGCAGTTTTATTTTGCCAAGAAAAAGATGAAGAACCTTTTATGAGATTGGTATGATTAGGTGTTAAAATTCCCCTCCGCACTGACAGATGTCGGCATGGGTCAGTTTACGACAACAATGGCTTATGCCAACTTGAAATAAACAGACGTCTACAATTCTGGTGCGGAAACCTGTCGCAGTGAANTCCCCTCCGCACTGACAGATGTCGGCATGGGTCAGTTTACGACAACAATGGCTTATGCCAACTTGAAATAAACAGACGTCTACAATTCTGGTGCGGAAACCTGTCGCAGTGAAATCATCCAAGAAGCGAGAAATAACAAGAGCTTTATACAGGTTTGTATTTAAACTACTGTGATTTCTTTTCCTTAGAAGATTTCGTCAGCGGCATTGGTATTATGTTGCTCAAGCTTAGGCTTCTTCATTCTCCAGGCATTTCTTGAAACCATGCCTCCTGAAGCCAAAAGAGGAAATCTTGACATCTTCATCTGCGCTTGACTCTCTCGTTGTAGAAGTTTTGGAATTTTGTCCATTCTCCAGCAATTTCGTGCAACTAGCACTTGCTGAAGTTTGTCCTTCAGTTCCATTTGCGGGACTAGTATCCTCAAGTTCCTTCAACCATTCTTCTCACGGTTACAGTGGGACCGTGGGTCACTCAGAGCCAAAGATCTTGTTCAACACTAAACCTGTGGGTTCCACCAGATTTTCACCTCTTCAGCTTCTTCAAAGACAAAAATGAGCAAGAAGTTTTCTTGCATTTTCGTCCTGATGCTTGCGATGAAAGAACCAGAGCGAGAACACTTCATGTGCACAAATGAAATATCACACTGCAGTTCGCTTTACACATGAAAACTGGCAGTGAATTTTATTTACAGGTGGCAACGAGCCATAAGGGGTTAATGAGATTCAAAAATAGTTTTTCTCCTTATCTTAAAAAGTTAAAAAGCTTTTCTTCCCATTCTTTTTGCAAAATATTTATCTCAGTCTTCTCAATTTGAACAGCAAAAAAAAACAAGATTTTTCGCATTTTTCGTAAAAATTCACCTACCATGATACCTTAACACTAACTGGTAAAAGTTTCAA